TTCTAACTATCGAATTCACCTGGTTACATCTGATGTTCAACAAAATGATTGCTGCAGGTGTGATCAGAGTTTTGCCTGCTTATCTTCTGGAATCCTAGCTCTCCATACAGGCAACTACCCCCACCGTGTCAGATTTCGTGATGTTCGACTTCAGAATCAATCGTAGTTGAATTTCGACACGTAGCTCCATGTTTGTATGTTGCCTGGATCTGTTTCTTCTACTCTGATCCGACCAGCAACATGATTCAGTAGTAATGTAGTATCTGGAGCATTGTCAAGTAACGCGTACGTATCCGAAAATCGGATCTAAGACCTTAATCGATGCGTATCTCAGAAACGGACTCCTCATTCTGCCCCAGCATAGTTGAAAGTCTTGTCTACAAGATAGTCTTCTTTACACAACGGTTGATTGTGACCTGAACTGCATCTCATGGCCTCACAGTTTCTTGTTGAATGCGACAACTGTCAATTCAGTGATTGGGCTTCAGGCGGTTGAATCACAAATTATGTCGCATAAACACAAAGTCTTTCTTCGTCACTCATCGACGAAATGTGTAGACAGTCACATATCTGGCCATTTCTGGAACATACTATTCATGAGTTCTGGGTTTGTGCTGTTACGACGTTGTGGTTATTTCGCTTTAACAACTTGTAGACTGAGGTAGATGCCTTTCTATGAACTCGGTGAAACGAAAAAACTTATGCTCAGCAAATTTCAAAATACCATCCTCAAGTTCGGCCCGTTATCCCTGCAGGTACGAAGGTAGACGCCGAACAAAATGCCCAGTTATACTAGGACAGCCTAAGTCTGCCGCATGACCTATTTGAGACAAGACTACCCACAATTCGTCATCTGCCTTATCAAATTTCGCAACCTATCTGTATCCTCTGAACGCGGTTGTGGGCTCGGTAACAATTCAGACAGGAAGTCCCCAGAAGTTACATGGGCCTGACTAAACTGGCTGCATAACATTTTCAAGGATTTTTCTCAGCTTAATTACGGGAACAATAGGAGACAGTGCTCCATAACCCTCATAGCTGTCCCGATGGAACCGCGTAAAGCGTGCGTGAACCTCTCGTTTTTGTTATTAGTTTCCTTTTGCTATATTCATATTGAAACACTCTGTTAACATCTAAAAGTTGGTCGGTATTCCATCGAATTTATCAATCCCATGTAATGGGGCTTACAAGATTCTGGAGTGATTGACTCATATTCTGCTGCTTTGTGTCAACCTAACGTGATTACTTGCGACACCGTCAAGACACTTAGTTTCGGACGATTCAGTCAAAGTTGAAATGTTATCAGAGCCGATAGACGGTTGCTGAAACTAAAACCTATGCATTTCGAACTTATTTCCAAACAGTTCAAGCTCTTGAATCTTGATGTCCATGCCCTCAATATAAGTTTAACTCGCTAATTGAACACCAGAATATGATAATGTACCACCTCCATTAAATTTAAACCAACTATCTGTTCTGAATTTCGGGAGATTGGGAAAGGAAAACACAAAGAGTGAATCTTTGACATAGAAACTCTGTCTCTACAATCTCATTCCACATCCTCCAAGTTTCTCCCTATACCTCTGATAATAGGCGTTGAGAACGCTACAAACTGAATTGCGAAGACGAGTTTGAGTACTGTGTGTTTCTTCTCCCGGAACAATACTTGCAATCGAACATTCGATCGAAAAAACATTTGAATTATCCCTGGAAGTACAAAACACCGTATTTATTTGAAATACGGTCTTGTATTGCGTACAAGTATATGCAAGAAATAAACAAACCTCAAAATGTGACAAAACTAGTCTGAATACCCTTTAAAGTACTGTCAATGTGCGTTAATAAGGAAGACATCAGGGCTGTATTTAAAAATGACACCTGGCCTGTAATAAACAACACGCGGATGTACTGATCAGGAGAAAGTAGGATTCGAATAAGCAATGTTCAAGGAACGGTAGAACATAAAGCAAAGGTGTACAGTGAATACCATTGAACAACAACAAGAAGATAAATGCTACAGACCAAGTAGAATGTTACTCCATTACACGACTTAAATGTCAGTAAAAATAAACAGTTGTAGTTATGGTTATTATTAAAATGGTCAATTATTATTAATATTTCCTTGGTTTCCTAGTAGAACATGAGACATCAGAAACACATCTCCATTTCATCCTGTCCTCCCTAGTCCTCTTTAGCTGGTTCCACGATTGGTCATAAGATCTCATCTATTCACACTGTCTCCTCCATGTCACGTTTGGACGAACATCTTCCCTTTCCCATTCGGGCTACAATCGAATATCTGGAACACGATGTCGATCAATGGTCCTCTCAGAGTGTATCAGATCCATCTCTACTCCCTTCAGTCAGAGGTTCTTGCTTGGTTCGTTTCAGAGTTCTTTATCACTTACATTATCTGCCCATTTCATCTTCATTTTTCTCAGCTAGGACAGTTGTTGATAAACGTCTGCAGTCTGTTGTAAATCCTTTCCTTTATGCGTCAATTGTCTGAACAATATAGAAGCAGTGACTTGACATTGGTGATAGAAATTTGGACGTTGTGCCTTTTGCTGTGTGCGGTAGATTCACACACTTATTTCAGCCTAATGAAGGTCTGTCTTGCCTTTCCAATCCTGACCGAGTTCGACATCCTCATCTGTGCCGTCTGTAGTTGAGACGATGATGCCTAGTTAAGTGAAAGAAGTGACCACCTTCAAGTATCTGTCGTTGATTGTCATTGGTGCTTGTTGTTGTTGTTGTTGTTGATTAGGTAGCTTCATCACCTCTGTCTTCTCATTGTTTACTAGGAGTCAGTTCTTCATTGCCTACCCCGTGTGCTGACTTGTTGGTTTCCGCCTTAGATATTCTGTTCTTTGCAACGCTGGACATAAATCACCCTCGAAATCAAGATGTGATAGAGCGTTCTGGTTGGTCCTTCCTAGTCTTTGGGATATTGACTGTACTGGAGATTTGCGCTTCTGAGGGGATGGTTGTAAGAGCCATTACGGCTTAGGGTAGACCTCAATTCTAAACACTCTTACAAAACGTCTTCACCGTCTTATGGCCTTAGCTGTACTCTACTTAACGTGCAGATACTGACGAACTGAATCAAGGTGAAAAGACTTGGTATGACAAGTGTATCTGCGACAATTATATTTTACACAAACGAAATATGAAATTCAATCAATAAAGAGGTTGTACTACTTATCTGTTGACGTCACTGGAGGTAGGCTCAGAGAGTGTGCAGGATGAAAGCACAACGAGAGAGCGAAACGATGAACGTACGGAAGCGTCACAACTCAAAAGATAAAAAGTGTGTCAAACATGGGTGAGCGAGTTTAAACATAAGTTCAAGGGTACAATTTGCACTACATGGTTATTCACCGGAGTTTCCGTCAGAAATGTCGGTGGAAATTCTGAACGAGTTTCATGTTGTAGTCGGTCCAAGAGCCTTTTGAAGTGGCCAGCTCATTGTTTTATTTGCTTCTTCTCTTCCGTAACTAGGTTTCCCTTTACTACTCTGTGTTCTGACCTCTTTCCCGTCTACGATCTGGTTATTTGACACAATGTTTTGAGGGTTATTTTACCTTCAATACCTTCCGCCTCAATCTCTAATGCCATAGCACTGCCTTTTGACTTCCCTATCACTACTGTTCACTTCTTTATTCAGTGAGTTGTACGCTGAACTCAAATTCTCTTTCTGTTGTGCATATTTGCATTGTTTCATATTCTGTCTAACCATCCTCCTCTCTCCCCACTGTCTTGTGCATTATTGTTTTCATCTGTCTGTAGGAATCTTCCTTCTTATCTTCTTCTGAGTTCTTTTTGGATGCGTAGCATTGGATAACTGTAACTTCCCCACCTTGTCAGTTGAATCTTACCGTCATTATCCTGAAGGAGATTGGTCCTCACTACATAAGAGCTTTGTCTTCTGTTGCTGACATCATGATAGCCACCCACTGCCTCAGTGCACTCATGGTTATCGTCTAAATGACTGTCAAGTCAGTGATTTGGAGACCCCATTTCCATCGCGTCATCTCTGACACGTACCGACAGCTTCTATGCATAATCTTCTCGTCTCATTATCAATCTCAGCAGCCATCCGTATTTCAAACATTGTGCAGACAGTGCATATCCCGTGATTACTTTTTCTCTCAATGAAATCCAGCATACTGGCTGAATAGATTCTGCAAGGCATTCGCCAGCCTGTGTCATTCCGTCTCTACGATTGCAGTAAAGAATAGATTTAATTTTTATGTGCATTGACGTTTCTGTAGCCATTGTTTTGATTTTCGGGAATAGCGCCGATAGCCCCATGCCTAGCATTCCCTCTATTTCCGAGCTTACGACCGGCTGGTAAACTAGTGAACTGTTACACTAGGGCAGGTTATTGCAGTCCCCAAGACTCAGGTATTTCGGTCAGAAGGCAGGAAACCGAGTCGGTACTATCCGCATAATTAATCACCTTCTCCCGTACAATTTGTGAAACTTGCATTAGTCACGTGTAGCTTAAAAGTATGAATTCACTGGAGTGACAAAAAGGCATATTATTATCAGCAGTTGACCATCATAAAGCATGGTGAATCATTCAGAAGAAATATTGACTGGGGTAGTATGGTTACAGTTCTCATATTCACACGTTTTCCGATGCCAATGAAAACATTCATTTACAACTTAAATGTTTACAAAATTCTATACGGATTTGATATGCAGAAAACACGAATGGAATTCCGAATTTCCAGGTGGTGAAACATATTTCACATCTCTATAAGAAACTGTAAAATACGTCGGAATCACTGCCAAACAATCAGAAGATTACTTCTGCAAAGCACTAGCACGCTCAAGGGAAAATCATGAGGAGAAATAGAACTCAGGTGTACTTTCGATCCGCAAACACAACAGATATACTCCCTCCACAATTGTCGTCCTCGAGACTTCTGTCACATACAATGCACCTGTCAACCAACATTGATTGAATCACACAAACAACACAGATCATTGACATGATCATTCATCGACCGATCAATTCTCTGTCAGTCAATGACACTTTGACTCGTGAAACCCACTATTTAAAGCGAAGGGATTGTCCGCTTCAGTCGTACAACTTAACAAGCAATCAACTGCTTCATGATGCATGTGAGTTTCTACTATGTGATGTGTATATGCAGTTCTGTGGAATAATCACCTTGACTCGAGTGACGTAGTTAATACTCTTCCTCTACAGAGTGCGTATGACGCGCTCCGATGAACTGGCCAACTTCATAATACAACCACCACTCTCACTCAACATCAGATATTCACCACACCTTCGATGAAATAAGTCACACTCGAATTCCTCGATGTGATCAGCTCAGTGTCACATCGTCACAGTGACACGCAACTGTTCATCCTCATCAATATTTCGAGAAATAATTTTGAATCCGATTTCTGGAGTGCAGTTTCAAGTGTTTCCTTCTCATTTTAGGCGAAATTCCTGATCGTCTTTTTTCTCGTCTTCCTGACAGTGGTCTTCTCCGAGGCAGCGATCGGTGAGTTGATATATGCGTTGTTCACCTTAATCAGTACACTGTGTGTATGATGTTGGATTGTGCAGTCTTCTCTCATCGAATATGCATACAACGAAGTTTGATTGTCGCATTAGTCAGTAGAGACACAGTTGAACGACAATCAGCTTGTATTATTGCTTCCGATAAGCATTTCAATCTGGTCTTCAAGCATAACTGAAAGACTTCCGTAATCGAGAAGTAATGTGTCGGAATGATTCCTTCTTTGAGAGTAATGCCAATTCATAATGCTAGCTAGATTCCTACTGGTTGGTACTGCAATTAATCCACTTCGATCCACATGTGTACGCGGAATCCTCAGATGATGGCGTCTTCGAAATATCAGCCAGTGCTTTGTGAATATGCGCAAACACACACTACTAACTGTGATGTGACAGGGTGAGCCTGACAAATGTAGTAAAATCGCGTGTGTGTGTGCGTGTGTGGGATAGGGCACTGTGGTGTGGAGTAGGGTTGGAATCGATTATGCTCACAAATCAGTTTAATTTACCAGTATGCACTTCAAGAACACAAAACGTTGAAGTGACTACCTATCGAACAATCCACCAATCGACAATTCGTCCTCACTCGTTGAAAATAAACATCCACTTAATCTATCTCTGTTTACGGTAGTCACACACATCATCAAATCTCAAGGTGATACCACCGCATATGTTTGTGAATACAGTTATTTTCGTTCACTCGTTTTCTCTCACTGCTTGTTTCGTTTCTTCAGCTTTGAGTGAGAAGGAGAGAGAAGAGTTGGAGAAGATCAAGGCGACCGACGAGTTTAAGAAGGCCAAAGCCAAAGTGCTCGAGGCAATGACGGCGAAGATTGATGACTTCGTACTGAAGAATATTCGAAAGGCAGCAGCTGGTGCAGCGTAATGATTTCTGGACGTGTCGGCTTATTTCACATTGCGAGTAGGTTTGATTGATGAGTAAATTTGTACTTTGCTTTGCCTGATGTGATCCATGCATAATATGAAGCTTTCTCAATGCTTGTAAATTTTGTAAAATCTATGTAAATGCATAATTTGCAACCAGTGAATGCCTATCGTCTTCTCTTCGTTTATCTGCTGTTTTATGCTGTTTTATACTCGATAATTTAGTGGTACCGGGCAGGAATCTTTAGATGGCAGTGGTTTAAGTCTCTCAAACCAAGTTGTTTGTTGCAAGGAAATATTTGTTTCATATTTGTAGATGCATCAATCAGATGCCTGTTATCTGGATTGATCGCCAAATGTTAGCATCACTGTCGTAATAAAATCCAACTACTACTCACCTCTAAGGTTTATACAAATGAGGATGATTTGCATGAGAATGATAAAATTTATTGCGCAGTAATCAGGGTGATAATGAAGAGGATATATCGCTGGCTAGTGGAGGAAGATAAGCTAAACGTAAACTCTCACATGCATTGATCTTATTGCGAGGCAGATAAGGCGAAATCAAGACTGGATTGTCACTGATCCATATGTGTTACTAGAAAGTAGCATACACTATGTATGAACCAATCAGGTCACTGTAAATCGGACATACGAGAGTAGAATTCGGTCGCTGTGATGCGATGCAACTCTGTAGTGTAAAGAAATGGAAATTTATTCATGGAGCACAGATGATTCAGAAAGCTGCACAGTATCGTTACAACAACAAAAACGGAGAAGTATTGAGATATTTGAAGCATTGATTTCAGGCATTAGAATGACGGACTCGCAATTGTTGGGGGCGAATCGAGTATGTAGCCACTATAAGTAACCCCGATTGTGGGAATCATACAAATGCTAACAAACAAAAGACCGTGAATATCGGAGAGGTGAAAACGGGTCACGCGGATAGAACAACACAAATCAATGAAGTTCGCAAATAAATGGTGAAATGTTATCTGATTAAGTCAACCTTTAGCATGAACTCTAACAAAGACATCTGCCAAATAAGACTTAAAGCGAGATAAATGGAATATGATAGTGAAGTTCAGAGGAAACCTGGTGCGAGATACTTGAAAAGTGATACAGATACATTCTTGAAATTCCCGGCCTAAGGTCAACAAGAAGGCTCACTATACGACATCCTTCATCAGGTCAAACAAGTTGTATTCTATCAACACCTTGAACAATCGCTTATCCTCTCAATGCACAACTCACCACATTCCAACCGTCTCCACAGCGTAGACAAAATCAATGAGAAGAAGACGATGAAAACAACATTTATTTTTACATAGAGAAAGAGTTGTGTAAAGAAAAGTCGTTAGTGGAAGTTTCCCACATGTTGTACATCACACATAAAAGCGAAGGTTCACAAAATATTCTTCCTACTCACCAGTTGATTGACAAGCTCTGTGAAAAGCAGTAAGCACACTGACAGCTATCAGGAGACATAGGGAATTCCACTTCTATAAATCTTGTCCGGTTGGGACTTTCTTCTTGCGTAGACTGTCGAGAACGTAGTTGTCGATCTTAGCTGACAGGACAGTGAGAACTTTGGCCTTGGCATCTTTGAATTCAGCTGACGCCTTGATCTTCGCTAGTTCTTCAGCCTCCTTCTGACTGGTTTCTGAAGTATGTGGGAGAGAGACAGAGAGAAAGGGAGAGATGAAAACGGTAAGCAAGTAAGCCAACAAGAGGCGAGTACGTCAGAAATACACTCAGCGAAATCATAGTTTACAGATAGTTCAATCAAAGGCAATCTCCCAATCACAAACATCGACAGATTTCGACACCATCAGATGGGCGATGCACATTTCCACGTCTGTCACAATCGACAAAGACGAGTACGGATGCTCACACAACAAGCAGTGTGACACGTCCACCACAATGCATCACTCACCAATCATCCTGCTAATCTTCTCATGGCACTGACAAAAAACCAACCAACCATCCAACCAACCAATCAACTGAGTTGACGGAGACGGAATATTCGAACACCTGAATATTCGCGTATGCAAGGAAGCATTGACACCGGCGGTGATCACAAGTGTGCATGTAATCACACAGACTAATGACAAGCTCACTTCACGAAACTGACACTGTCAAAATGATGGATTCCACGTGGAGACGCGTGATAGTCAACCTCATTCACTCACTCACACACACGCACACTCATTGGCTCACACACACTCACACTTATTTATGTGAATCGGTGTGATGTATGTGCATGTAATCTGTGGAGTATTCGCCTAACAATGAAGACGAATGTGATATGAGACTGAGTGAAATCATGCACCGGTGATAAGCAGAGTTTGTGTCAACTTACGTGGTGTGCTTTCGGAAACAGCCAGATTGATGATGACGAAGAAGCAGACGAGGAGGACTGCAGTCTGAAATGAGAAAACAATATGAGCGAACAACAGACAATTGAAATAATAATCAGACGAGAATGAAGGAAATCAATGAGTCCTGTGTGTCTGAATGACAATGATCGACTGTTGTATTACTCGATGATGGCAGGATGATGAATTTAGCACAATGGAATAGTCACAGTCATGTGAATCTCACTAAGTAACTAACAAACTAACCCACTACTTCGTAGTAGCAGTAAGATATATTACGCAGTCAGACTGCTTACGATTCCACCTATTCAGATGAAGGTGTTCACAAGTTCACCATAAGTTGAAGACTATCTGACTTCTCACGAGTCGCGATCATCTCTCAACACTGAACTGCGATTCACTCATTACCAACTCACATTCATTGCCTTGTTGAATAGGAAATAAGTTGTGCGTACAAGTGCTTCGTACTATTCTCGCCCTTTATATACTCTTGTATTTGCTCTTCGTGTGGAAATGTCCCTTCTCTGTGTGCTAATTGTGTATTGAACATTGATAATTAACAAATGATTTTTCGATTGAATTCATAATTAATTTCCCATTGTTTGTTTCATAGATCCGAAAAGGAATAACACAATATAGGAAATTCGACAAATTATAAAATGGAATCGAATTTGTACATAATATCCTGTTACTCTCTGTATGTGATTCCCCTGATTAAATTTAAGTCCCGTATCGAATGATAACATTGTACAAACAGTGATGATGTTTGTCAGTGTGAAATTTGAATTAATATAGGCTCGAGAATTAGATGGCAACATTGGTAGGAATTTAATTTGAAAGAGACATGGAATTTATATTCATTGTATCAAAGTAACTCGGTAATTTCGTGCTCTCTTATTTCCCTAATAAAATATGAATAATTATCTGAATGAAACAGGATATTACGTACAAATTCGATTCCATTTTATAATTTGTCGAATTTCTTATATTGTGTTATTCCTTTTCGGATCTATGAAACAAACAATGGGAAATTAATTATGAATTCAATCGAAAAATCATTTGTTAATTATCAATGTTCAATACACAATTAGCACACAGAGAAGGGACATTTCCACACGAAGAGCAAATACAAGAGTATATAAAGGGCGAGAATAGTACGAAGCACTTGTACGCACAACTTATTTCCTATTCAACAAGGCAATGAATGTGAGTTGGTAATGAGTGAATCGCAGTTCAGTGTTGAGAGATGATCGCGACTCGTGAGAAGTCAGATAGTCTTCAACTTATGGTGAACTTGTGAACACCTTCATCTGAATAGGTGGAATCGTAAGCAGTCTGACTGCGTAATATATCTTACTGCTACTACGAAGTAGTGGGTTAGTTTTTTAGTTACTTAGTGAGATTCACATGACTGTGACTATTCCATTGTGCTAAATTCATCATCCTGCCATCATCGAGTAATACAACAGTCGATCATTGTCATTCAGACACACAGGACTCATTGATTTCCTTCATTCTCGTCTGATTATTATTTCAATTGTCTGTTGTTCGCTCATATTGTTTTCTCATTTCAGACTGCAGTCCTCCTCGTCTGCTTCTTCGTCATCATCAATCTGGCTGTTTCCGAAAGCACACCACGTAAGTTGACACAAACTCTGCTTATCACCGGTGCATGATTTCACTCAGTCTCATATCACATTCGTCTTCATTGTTAGGC